ACAAAATTTTAAGAAACATATTTCCCTTACTACATGCAATGCACTCTCTCAGTTTCTATTCTGTCTGCTCTATTTTATTTCATTTAAAAAAGGGGCTGGTCATAGCACATTAAACTGATTTCATAACCCATTAATGGATTAAAATCCATAGTTCGAAAAACAATGTCCTAAGCAACATCCAAATTATGAAAAACACAGTGTCTCAGCATTGAAATCTAGCAAAAGGGGAATTTTTGTAATTAATCGAAGCAAATCAAAACATAAATTCTCAATGCGTTTATGTTTAATTTTAACAAATCAATGACATACCTAATGCAGGAATTCAAAAGCCACCTCTGAAATTCTAAAAAAAAAAAAGTCACCAAACCTAAGGAAACTAAATTAATATCAAAATATAATACAGGTGCCTCATCTGCCTTTGTATTTAAATATAAGTCCTCCATTAGGGATTCAATTAAAAATTTTGAAAGGCAAGTACAGCACTACAATAAAACCTAAGTACCCTTTCTTAGGTTTCAAAAGTTTTGGATTTCTGTATACATACATCAGTTTTGAAAGGTATAGACATAAAAGAACCCTTGTAGTACTCAGGTCAGAATATGAACTGAAGACTCCCTGCTAAATGAATTAAAAATGGCAGGAAACTAGTGCCAACATAATTCTAAATAGCCAGTGACTGGCTTAATGATTTCTATAAAATGGACTACTAGTTTCAGTCCAGCTGCTTAGCAAGATGGGGCATGGAGGAAGGAGATGTCTATATTATGTATTTTTAGTTATATATATTCTAGAGGAAGACAAATCAAGATTGAAATGGCTGTAAATTATTGGGTGCATTCTGAGCACTCCAACCCTGAGACAGCACTCTGCTGAACAAAACAAATGCATGAATGGCTTTCTCACCAAAGCGTTCTGATTTCTAGAGGGAAAACTACTGGGTTTTACTAATGTCCATTAGGCAGCATTTCAACTTACTATCTGTTTTTACTGCCTTCATTATTGGTTTTTTTTTCCTTGGTTTTTTTTTTTTTTTTTTTTTTTTTTTGAGACGGAGTCTCATTCTGTCGCCCAGGCTGGAGTGCAGTGGCATGATCCCGGCTCACACAACCTCTGCCTCCCGGGTTCGAGTAATTCTCCTGCCTCAGCCTCCCAAGTAGCTGGGACTACAGGCACCCGCCACCACGCCTGGCTAATTTTTTATATTTTTAGTAGAGACGGGGTTTCACCGTGTTAGCCAGGATGGTCTCAAGCTCCTGACCTTGTGATCCGCCCACTTCGGCCTCCCAAAGTGCTGGGATTACAGGCCCGGCCACTTCCCTCATTTTCAAATAACATAAATATTTTCAATTTCCAAGTTGTTCTGGCAATATCATGAGTAAAAAGATGGTTAATATGCTTTGGGATGGTTCGACGATGCTGCCAAACTATTATGGCATAACTTGGACTGGATTAGAGATTATGCAGGAGCGTAAGTAACATTACATTTGGGCCAAGTGCAGTGGCTCACACCTGTAATCCCAGTGTTTTGGGAGGCTAAGATGGGACGAAGCTTGAGCCCAGGAATTTAAGATCAGCCTGAGCAACATGGTGAGAGTCCATTTCTACAAAAATAAAAAAAAAAAAATTAGCCAGGCATGGTGGGCCACACCTACAGTCCCAGCTACTGGGGAGGCTGAGGTGGGAGGATCACGAGAGCCCAAGAGTTTGAGGCTGCAGTGAGCTTTGTTCCTTCTGCTGCACTCCAGCCTGGGTGACAGAGTGAGACCCTGTTTCAAAAAAAAAAAAAGAAAGAATAGAAAAGAAACATTATGCTTGAGGGGCTATAGACCTGAATCATTTTATATTTTCCATGATGGGAAAGGAAAGAAAAACATTCTTATCTTTCTGGAGTTTGTGGATGTACTTTTACTGAAGCTAATTGAATGAATAAGCAGTGATATAATGTGTTTTCATATGTGTAACCTTATCTAGAAAAGAAATTAATTTAGTTTCCTATACTGCCCTATATGACATCCTCAGATCTCTCCAATCCTGCCTCTTTCACTTAATAAGAATAAAAACATAGCTAACATTTACTGAGTATTCAGTATGTATAAGGTGCTATTTTATGCATTTAACCTGTACTAACTCATTTAATCCTCACAGACACCCTCTGGGGTAGCAACAAGTATTATCCACACTTTACAGATGAGGGAGCTGAGGTCCCCAGTGGAACCTGCAAACCACTCCTAGTTGGTAACCCATAAGCAGGAGAAGAAAGGCTCAAGCCAGAACTTAGAAACTAATCATCAAGTCAGCTTTGTAACAGGTTGTCAATTCCAATGAGATTTTTGCTTTTTTCACTTCAAGTAGTCCCTTACAGGGCCCTCCTTGCCTAAGTTTCTGCCCTGTAGTACCATTCCCACAGAGACTGGAGTCTTGGCTTGCTCATTAGTGTTTATTAGGCTATAGTCCTGGTTAAATGCTAGAGAAGGAGATCCTTTCTTTGGCCCTCCAGATCCTTTCCTTGGCTGTCTCTATGTCACTGTCTGACTCTGGAGTTCGACCTGTTTGGGCTCCCTCACTCTCTTTCCTGCTGAGTTCAGCCAATGAGTGTCCAGGCATGAGATCAGAGGGAGGGAGGACAGTGAGTCAGGAGAATTTATCCTCCTGGCTCCCACCCTGTGGGGTCACTTCAGATTTCATGTGCCCCTCTCCTTTCAGGTTGCAATAACCATGCCTTTCCTCTCCCTTTGGTCCAGGCTGGTAACATTTCCACTATGACTAGCCCTGAGGTACAGCATGATCCCTCATGGTTTCCCTACACCCAGACCACACTTTCTTAAATAGTCCCTTAGTTAAAGCCTTTCCAAATCATTCAAATTTTAGTGGACCATCTATTTCTTGCTGGAACTCTGGCTGATACAACATAGCAGGGCTCCTCATACCTCCTGACTGCCTGTGTGTCTATTTGCTGCCAGTCAGTAGATTCCTTCCGTTGCCAGTACTTCCACCTGTTATCTCCCTACAGACATCTGATACTGACAATGTACCTGATCTACACTATTTGTTTACTGGATTATTACTGTTCTATTGGATATGGCTTGTATTTCTAATTTCCATGTTCTGACATGATCCATCCTACCACTGATCACGCTCTATTTCCAGTGGCAAAGGGGTTTATTTTTTTGCTATTTTCTTCAGGCATGCTTGTATCTGTATTACTGGATCAATACCCCTAGTATTGCTGGTATCACTGGCTCCACATGTTAGCTTCATCATCTGTACCAGAGTCTCTTTGTTGCTCCTGACCTGGCAAGAGAACCAAGTGCTAAATGACCCAGCCTTTGTCTTATTGGAAATTAAACAGTGTGGCTGGCTTACTTTCATCTTGATGTGTTCACGAAGAAGACTATAGCACAGAGGTAATAGTACAGAAATAAGAGGCTGGGAAAAGTGGAAGGCAATCTTCACCTGCTCCACAGTGTCACTTATCCCAATCAATTGTCAATAAAAAGCCTGTAGGCACAGGCAGAACTATCTGAAAATTTGCACAAGAACATTTTCTTCTTGGCTATTATTGTGTTACTACTTGTCCCCCCAATAATTATGTGCCTTCCCCCATATTTATAAAAAAACAGGCCTGGCATGGTAGCTCACACCTGTAATCCCAGAACTTTGGGAGGCCGAGGCAGGCGGATCACCTTAGGTCAGGAGTTCAAGACTACCCTTGCCAACATGGTGAAACTCTATCTCTGCTAAATATACAAAAATTAGCCAGGCATGGTGGCAAGTGCCTGTAACCCCAGCTATACCGGAGGCTGAGGCAGAAGAACTGCTTGAACCAAGGAGGTGGAGGTTTCAGTGAGCTGAGATCGTGCCATTGCACTCCAGCCTGGGTGACAGAGCAAGACTCAGTCTCAAAAAACAAACAAACAAACAAACAAACAAACCACAAGTTCAGAGTTAAGCCTAGAGAGGAGTAAAATCAATTAAAAGTTCTATTTTAGGAGGACTATAAGTCATGTCAACTGTTTTCTATTTCACATTTTTTTTTATTAATGAGGAACTTTCTATTCATCTTGAAAGTTGAGAGCAAAATGAGATTATTATGCTTTGCTTTAAGTAAATGTATTCTACAACATTAATAACTTTTAGACCAATTTTTTAAATTCACAAAATGTAATATGTGATTCTGATCCAAGAATGAACGCTTATGCATCAAAATCAGGATCGATTCAACTCTCAAATATTAATCTAATAAATTATAATGTGAAAAAATGAGATCATTTCTTTTTGAAATATCTATCCCATTACACACTATGTTAATATCACATATATATATATATATATAAATTTTTTTGTGTGTATGACAGGATCTCGCTTTGTCACAGAGACTGGAGTTCTGTGATGCTATCAAGGCTCACTGCAGCCTTGAACTCCTAGATCCTCTGATTTTATAATGCATTTTTCTCTCTCACTGAAAATCCTAGTTCCTAACAACATCAACATATCTATTTGCTAAATAATATTTCTAAATAGTTTTTTGACACAAGTCGTGGTGTTATAGGTATGAGTCACCATGCCTGGCCTAATATCATATATTAATGAAATAACTGGTTATCATTCACCATTATCTCCATTAACTTTGTACTTTTATACTATCAAAATTTGGGTCTAAATATAATGAATGTGCTGAGTCATATATTTTAGACAATTTACTTAACAAATCATCTTAAGTGGAGTTCCCCTCTTACCTGTTACCAATCATTTCTCTTCTTGCTCTGATATTCTTTCTTACCACCTTGAAGCAACATTAAAATTTTTAAAAAAACAAAGGATCAGCTACATTACACATTTTATCAAGTTATTTCCCTATCCCTATGAAGGTCATTTAGAAAAATACATTTATGGCCACCCACCAGCTCTGGCACCAACAGCAGCGCCGCTGCCACTGCCCACCTTCTGCAACCGCCACCACAGCCACCTTCTCCTCCTCCGCTGTCCTCTCCCGTCCTCACCTCTGTCGACTATCAGGCGAGCCTTGAACCAGGATGGCTGAGCCCCGCCAGGAGTTCGATGTGATGGAAGATCACGCTGGGACGTACGGGTTGGGGGACAGGAAAGATCAAGAGGGCTACACCATGCTCCAAGACCAAGAGGGTGACACGGACGCTGGCCTGAAAGCTGAAGAAGCAGGCATTGGAGACACCCCCAGCCTGAAAGATGAAGCTGCTGGTCACGTGACCGAAGCTCACTAGATCAGTCAAAGCAAAGACGGAACTGGAAGCGATGACAAAAAAGCCAAGGGGGCTGATAGTAAAACGAAGATCGCCACACCCAGGGGAGCGGCCCCCCCAGGCCAGAAAATCCAGGCCAACGCCACCAGGATTCCAGCAAAAACCCCGCCCGCCCCAAAGACACCACCCAGTTCTGGTGAACCTCCAAAATCAGGGGATCGTAGCGGCTACAGCAGCCTCGGCTCCCCGGGCACTCCTGGCAGCCGCTCCCGCATCCCGTCCCTTCCAACCCCTCCAGCCCGGGAGCCCAAGAAGGTGGCGGTGGTCCGTACTCCACCCAAATCGCCGTCTTCCGCTAACAGCCGCCTGCAGACCGCCCCCGTGCCCATGCCAGACCTGAAGAACGTCAAGTCCAAGATCGACTCCACTGAGAACCTGAAGCATCAGCCGGGAGGCGGGAAGGTGCAAATAGTCTACAAATCAGTTGACCTGAGCAAGGTGACCTCCAAGTGTGGCTCATTAGGCAACATCCATCATAAACCAGGAGGTGGCCAGGTGGAAGTAAAATCTGAGAAGCTGGACTTCAAGGACAGAGTCCAGTCGAAGATCGGGTCCCTGGACAATATCACTCATGTCCCTGGCGGAGGAAATAAAAAGATTGAAACCCACAAGCTGACCTTCCGCGAGAACGCCAAAGCCAAGACAGACCACCGGGTGGAAATCGTGAACAAGTCGCCGGTGGTGTCTGGGGACACGTCTCCATGGCACCTCAGCAATGTCTCCTCCACCGGCAGCATCGACATGGTAGACTCGCCCCAGCTCGCCACGCTAGCCGTCGAGGTGTCTGCCTCCCTGGCCAAGCAGGGTTTGTGATCAGGCCCCCGGGGCGGTTAATAATCGTGGAGAGAAGAGAGTGTGGGGAAAAAAAGAATGACCCGGCCCCGCCCTCTGCCCTCAGCTGCTCCTCACAGCACGGTTAATCGGTTCATCACTTAACCTGCTTTTATCGCTCGGCTTTGGCTCGGGACTTCAAAATCAGTGATGGGAATAAAAGCAAATTTCGTCTTTCCAAATTGATCGGTGGGCTAATAATAAAATATTTTTTACGAAACATTAAAAAAAAAAGAAAAATACACGTATTATATATCTATGAGGGAAAGTGCTGTCAATAAACTCGTAATCAAAATGAAAAGGAATGTAAAAGGCCATCTTCTCTCAGTGTATTGGCAAATCTGGGTATGGTTAGCCATAGGGCAAGTTAGAACTAATAAACCAGTTAAGGATGGAGAATGCAAGTGTTGATCAAAGAAGAAAGCTCAAGGAAATGGGATGAATCTCTTTAAACCAGCTGAGGCCCAGGAAGCTATATTAAAGCAAGGATGGATAGATGGGTAGAGTGAGATCAAAGTATGCAACCTAACCTCCAGGTTTAGAAGTGTCAAAGACTGAGAGGAGGCCAGGTGAGGAGGCTCACACTTGTAACCCCAATACTTGGGAGACAGAGGTGGGAGGATTGCTTGGAGCCAAGAATTACCAGCCTGAGTAACCTAATGAAACTTCATCTACCAAAAATAAAAAAAAATTAGCCAGGTGTGGTGGTGACTGCCTGTAGTCTCAGCTACTTGGGAGGCTGTGCCAGGAGGATTGCTTGAGCCTGGGAGATAGAGGCTACAGTAAGCTATGATAATGCCACTGCACTCCAGCGTGGGCAATAGAGCAAGCCCCCATCTGGAAAAAAAAAAAAAAAAGACAAAAGACAGAGGAACAAGGGACTTAGCAGGGATGGCATTTGGGGACAGTGTTGTCAGTCCTTGATTCTATGGTAGAGAAGTTGTTAGAACAGTCAGCAGGACATAGAACCTTGGGCAAATGTACATCCTGTTCACAGAAAGAGGGAAAGACTAAACTTGTCCTTCTATGAAAAGATAGAAAGCTTAGTGAGCTACTCTTTTTTATTGGTAGGGGTACAGTTTTGCTACGTAGTTAGTTCAAGATAGTCTTCCAGTCTGAAATCCTTACAAATGTTTTAGATGGTGAAGCAGGTCACATAAGTATTTACAATCATAGGCTCCAAAACCAAATTGTCTGATCCACAACCCTAGCTCCAATACTTACTACCCATGTAATCTTTCCATGCTTCTGTTTCTCCATCTGTGAAATGGGAATAATAAAATACCCCATTATGAGTTGATATGTTAGGTATATAACAATATAAAGTAATTATTATTAATTATAATATTAGTTGTAATAATATAATCACTATTTTATTTTATAAAAATAATTATTTATATTATTAATGAATACAATCATATCACTATTATTACAAAAATATTATATTATATTTTATAATTACTAAGTATATCATTAATATTGTAATTATATTAATTTATTAATAGTAGTATTTTACTATACCCCTAGTATATTAATTACATTATATTAATTAATAGTAATAAATTATGTTAATTACTATTAATATTTTATTATTAATTGAAGCAAACTGAACCAGATTACCCCCATACAAGCTTAGGTCAAACATGTGAGAGTAGGAGGGGAGTTTATAGCACTGAGTACAGGGGAGGGCTTCAATAAATATAGCTAATTAACCTTGATGTCTATGAGTCTATATTAGACAAACCTCAATCTTCTGTAAAAATATAAAGAAAAAATTATTATAGCTTTCTGTTTTATAAAGGACAACCAGGTGGTCTCCCATAGAGCCCTTTTTTCCAAAGTAGGAGTCAGCTTGGCCCTGCTAAGCTTCTTCAGCTTTCTGGAGATTCTGGGTCAAATTTACCCAAGTGATAAGGATGGAGACATGGCAATGAAATGGTAAGGGTGTAACTATAATTTTTTAATATAAGGAGTCTTGTGAAATTGCTGGATTAGGAGGTGTGGCCTAGGCAAATTCCTCACAGGCTAAAGGAGAGGACCGCATCTCTGTGTGTACAAGGAAACATCTGACGTTCTGCTGGAGTGTCGGGTTGGCCTTCATTAATCTGGGTAGTGGTAGCCTAAGGAGAGCCGGAAGAGAGCAAGAGTAGCAAGAGTAGCGGCTCAGCAAGCTGTAACTAAGAGGGTTTCCTTTAGGGGAAGAGCTGCAGTGCAAATGAAGCAGGGAGGCAGTGCAAATGAAAAATATGCAACAGGAATGGTTTGTGTGGTTTGTGAAGTGCTGAAGAATTTTGATGCCACTTGCTAGGTGTGCGGTCTTCAGGCAATTCCTTACACCTCTAAGCCCGGGAGTTCTCATCTATAAAACAGGAATAAGAGTAGTACCTACTTGGGGCTGCTGTGAGGAGTGTATGAGTGAATGCATGTAAAGCATTTAGCAGAGAGTAGATACTCAATAAGTGCTAGCTATTACTACAAATAACTAGGTGGTCCACATCAAGGTAGCCATTCAGTAATGAGGATGATCGGTACATGTTGTTCCATGTCTTTTGGGGAAGGGGGACAGATGAATAATGATCATACCTGTCAACTCCCAGGGTGCTGTTGCTGCCCCTTAATCTAGGCACTAAGACCTAGACTTTTAACAGCTCACCAGACGGCAGACCACCAGGAAGTCTGATACATTAACTACAATCCTGCAATGTGTTCTCTAGGTAGATTCCTGCCTCATTACAAGTGACCACAGATTGAAAGTGTGCAAAGAACAGTGCCCACTAGGCCCAGAGGGGGTCTGAGGCACCCAGAAAATCATATTGATCCAAGGTCTGTTTCTGTGTGGAATGCATGAATGTTGTGTCACCAAACCCTTCAAGCCTAGAGGGTCAGAAGAGAACTTGGAGGAAAAAGAACTAGCCAGACTGAGAGATCGGGACACCTCAGGAAACTGGACTTGCCCACTGGAGTAAGACAGTTACATAATGAAATAACCAGCTTCATACTGTAACAATATGTGATCATGATGATGTGACATTGAGACCTAGTATCCTGGAGATATGGTGGTGGGGAGGGAGTTGAGGTCCACAAATATGGCAAGAGTGGTGTCGTAGTCTGTTTTGTGCTGTTGAAACAGAATACCCCAAGCTTAGTAATTCATAATGAACAGAAATTTATTGGCTCACAGTACTGGAGGCTGGAAAGTCCAGTATCAAGGTGCTGGCATCTGGTGAGTGCCTTGCTGTGTCATCACATGGTGGAAGATGAAGATGGTGGGGGGAGAGAGAGAGACAGAGAGAGAGAGGAGAGAAGAGGCTGAACTAGCTCTTTTATAACAAATCCACTCCTAAAGTAGCAGCATTAATCCATTCATGAGGGCAGAGCCCTCATGGTCTAATCACCTCTCAAACGTCCCACCTCCCAATACTGTTACAACAATAATCTAATTTCTACATGAGTTTTTGCAAAGGAAAAAATTTAAACCATCGCATTCCAGTTCTGATGGGAAGCTAGAAACGACGAGTAGATGAAACTGAACAGCTGGATGGGCGGTGTTCCCACCAGAGTGCAGAATCACCCTGGTGGGATCGAGGGCACCAGTTGCCAGGTCTGCAGACTCCACAGCAGACTGTTGAATGTGGGCTTGGGGAAGGATATAGGAAGAATGGTGGCTATATTTACCAGAATGTCTACGAGTTGTTTCTGGGAACCTAATACTAATTCCTTCTGTCCCTCTTTTAGGCCTTAAGACTGTAGCAATTTATGCAGACTCTGAACCCAAGACTAGCTTTCAGGACTAGTGCTGTTGGCTTGGAATGGGCTTATCCATTCAAATATCTAGATATAAATTGGGTAGTTAATTGGCATGAAGGCAGCTTAGGAATCAAGTTAGCCCTTCTTCCCATGACAGAAGTCTATGGAAGTGGTCTTAGATCATTAATACAGTATTTTCTTCTCTTAGGGTTACAACTGACATCCCAGTGGGAGTTACCTTAGGGGACTCATTTGTCTCTCTCCCAATGTGTTTAAAGATGCTAGAGGACAAGGAAACTCCCAGCACATCATCTCCATTTAGTCTTTGGGTGGCAGCACTCACCTGCACTTGGGAGACTTATCTAAACTTTTATAGTTTAGAACAGAAAGTTTCCTTTGCTAACCAGACGGATAGTCCCCGAGACACTTCTTACAATCTCAGGAGTACGCAGGTGCTGCCACTGTTGATGGATCAAATGACTTATACTGCATTCAGAAGCCTCAGTACCTACGTGGATTTGTATGATTCTTACGATTCTCATTGGGGAAGTTGGAGAACTCATTAAGAATCTAATGAAAGGTATGGATCATGTCCTCAAAATGAGACACAAGTCTTTACGTGTAATTTCAGGTCTCTAGAAACCTACTCATGAATTTCAGTTTGAACTTCTACAGTAGAGATAGGACTGGCAAGAACAGGCTTTAGGTTTATGGCTTTCTTCTTTGAAATATAAACTCCACTATATTCCAATTTAGTGTGTTTGCTGTTTGTTGCCCTGTTTTACTCCATAAAGTATTTGTGGCTACAAAGACATTTTCAAGATGTACTTTTCTTTCTGTTCCTATATTCATAGGGTGTCTTTACATGGGATATCAATAACCTCTGGAACTATATATTATTAATACATCTTTTACTAATCATCAGTTGCTCATCACAATTTTCTGCTCTCCTTGGTACATTTAGTACCTCTGCTCTCCTAATGACATTATTTTTTTGGC